AAATGGCAAGCCCCTGACTGTGACCCCTGGCACTGCCTGCCTGGCCCTCGGAGCACCCCGGGGGGCCCCCCAGCACCTCAAGGGGCGCCAAGCACTGGGCCAGCGAGCAGCCTGCGCTGAGCTCCCCCAGGAGTGACCCTGGGCCCTCCGCCCCTGCCCTGCTGGGTGTCGTTTCTGTCCAAATAGTAAAAGAAAGGAAGGGCAGAATGACAAATTTGCAGTGAAAAGCAAGTTTCCCTTGAACTTGATACTCATCCCCACTTCCCCTCCCAGAGCCCGGCTGCTCTTGGGTTTCGCTTTCACGTGGAACCCGTGAGCCTGTGCAGCTCTGAGCTCGGGGACGACGCGAACGTTCCCTTGAAGAAAAAGCAGAGTCTGTAACATTATATGGTCACGGCCGTTCACTTCCTCGGTCCCTTGTCAGTGGACACGAGGGGAGTCCCGAGCCTTGCTTCCCCCCCGCTGCCTTTTATCTTGTGTATTTCAAGCCGATCGAATGGCTGCAGGAGTCAGAGAAGGAGCCACGTACCCTTCACCCAGACCCACCGCGCTTAGTGGCCGTGCCATCGTGGCACCTCTGTGGCACCCCCTCTCCTGTCTACCTGGATGTTGGTGTAGATGGGATATTTTTTTGGTTAATCGCAGCGCTCAGAACATACTCCTTGTTCTGTGCTCAGGGATCACTCCTGGTGGAACTTGGGGGACCATGTGGTGCCAGGGGTCAGACCCGGGATAGAACCTGGGTTGGGGGACCAGAGAGAACAAACAGCAGGGAAGGTGCTTGCCTTCCACACAGCCAACCTGGGTTCAGTCCCTGGCACCACCTGTGGTACCCAGAGCACCACCAAGAGTGATCCCTGAGAGCAGAGCCTGGTATAAGCCCCGGGCATCACCAGGTGTGGCTTCCTGCAACGACAACAATCACACGGGGCCGGAGAGATAGCACAACACGTAAGGCACTTGCCTTGCACGTTCCTGACCTGGATTCAGTCCTTGGCCCATCTGGTCCCTGCCAGGCGTGATGATCCCTGAGTGCTGAGGAAGGAGTTCGCCCTGGGTGTGGCCCCCAGAAAAATGAAAGGAAGGAATAAAGAGCGAACTCGGGTTGATCCTGCAAGGCAGGCACCCCACCCGCCGTGCCATCTCGCACCCCTGCGTGTGGCTTGTGTCCCGTCCTTCGCCCCAGCTACCCTAGTGAGGGTCTCTTACGTAATCAATACCACGGTCACACTTAGGAAAATTGGCACTTGGCCGCAGAGAGAGCTGGGTGGGCTCCCCATGCAGGAGGCCGAGGAGTGAGCCCCTGGCCCCAGCATCGCCAGGACGAACCCCCCAGCACAGAGATCAGCATCCAAGGCACTGCTGGGTGTGGCCCAAAAAACAGGAGAAAGAAAGGGAAGACGAACACAAATTCCATATGTTTTCTAGACAGCTTCATTTCCCTAATTGCCTCCCGAGCTTTTTACAGCTCTTTCCCCGTGATCCGGCGTCTGAGCCCGGATCTCGACTCGTGTGGCGGCATCTCTTGTCTTTCCCCCGCCCCCAGCTTTATTGAGGTCTAATTGACCTATAACGTTGTGTACGTTTAAGGGGTCCGATGTGCTAATTTAATACACAGGCTTATTGTGAAACAGTTACCGCAGCCTCCACCTCGCCTAATTAGCATCTTGTTGTTGCATCCTAGTTTTTTTACTACCCTGTTTAATCCCGAGCTGTCCCTGGCCGTGTCTGTTACGTGCTGGATGACCTGGACTTAAAGCCTCCAGGCCAGGCCAGGCCAGGCCAGGGGAGAGAGCACCAGTGGGGAAGGCTCTGGGCTCACGCGTGATTGACCAGGGTTTGAGTCCTAGCATCCCCCCCCAACAGGAAAAGTCCAGGCTGTTTGTTGAGGTCCTGCCCAAGGACATTCTTTCGTTCGTTTGCTTTCGGGCCACACCTGGCAGTGCTCGGGGCTTACTGCTTCCCGGCTCTGTGCTCAGGGAACCACAGGGGTTGCCGAGGATGGAACCCGGGTCAGCAGCGTGCAAGGCGAGCGCCCTTCCCGCTGTAACAGCTCTCCGGCCCCGGGAGCATCTACTCGATGCCCCCGGAGCACCCCAGCCCCCCACCAGGGACTCTGCCCAGCTCCCTGCACCCCCGTGGGGCTCAGCTCCCTCCCCGCATGATGGGAAAGGTTTGCTCTGACCGCGTGGTTGACAAGGCGGCCCCCAGGTCTCCCTCCTGGGAGGTGCTTTTTGCTCTTTCTTATCGGTGGGCTGATACTTGGGGTCCCATCACCGTCCTGTCCCCCAGCAACTTCTGCCTCCATGTGGTTGGTGCTTTTTACTGAGCCCATTCTTGGGACTGTTCTGGTTAGAGTCCCTGGGTGTCCTGGCCCCTGACTGCAGGGCCGTGCGTGTGTCTTCCTTCCAGGGGTCTGCCCAGGGGACGCAGAGTCTGCGTGCCCACCGCCAGTCCAACCCCATGGTTAGGGGGGATGTCCCTGTGGTGGCTCTCAGCTGCCCCTGGCAGGCAGCATGTAGGCTCTGGGATGGGGCGGGGGGTGGGTGTCAAGGAGGGGGAGGGCGGTGAGTGGGGAGTCGGGCGAGCTCAGGGGCCAGAGGGCCAGCGGCTTCCAGGAGGGCCTGGTGGCCTTCCCAGGGCCAGGTCCACATCAGCAGCTTGACACTGGGCAGCCGCTGCCAGCCTGGCCAGACTGCAGGACTGCTGCACCCCAGGCCTGGCGCAGGGTGGTCCCCGAGGGCATCGCGAGAGGACCCGGCGGCTGGGTGACTTGCACGTGGGTCCTAGGCTCAGCGTCCAGGCCCGGGCTGCGTGGTGCAGAGGGTGGCCAGGCGGTCCGGGGGCGGCAGCCACAGTGTCGCCCTCCCCCAGACCGGGGCTTGTCCACACCCACCCTAACTCAGGCCTGGCCCCTGCCCTCCTGGCCCCAGGGCCTCCTTTGGCCCCTCATGCACCCCTGGAGATCTGGGTGCCTGGGCTGCTGGGGGTGCCCGAGCTAGGGGCCCGGGTCTGGGCATGACCCCGAGTCATGCAGGATGCCCGCTGAAGCGTCCTCTCTACCCCCCAGTCTCTCAAAGCCCCCCCATTTTACAGATGGGGGCTCTGAGAGATTTGGGGGGCAGAGGGGACGCTCCCTCGGAGTTGATGGTAGCCTCCCTCGGAGTTGCCAGAGGCGGTGACGTGCCGGGGATCGGGCCTGGCACACAGTACGTGCTCAGAAAACAGGGCCTGTTATTATTTTTATTATTATCATCAAGTTGCCGGGGGAGGCCGCGGCAGCTGCAGGCCTGCAAGGATGTTTGCAAACCGACAGACTGACAGCCGGGAGGGTGACTAAGGGACCCAGCCCCCGCGCCCTCCTGCGGGGAGGACGGAGGAGGCCTGGGGCGCAGCCCACCCAGTGCCCCCTAACCCGGTTCAGACCCCGGGCGGGCGGTCCCCCTCCAGACCCCAACACCTCCAGGCGAGCTGTCTGGCATGAGTCCCAACTCCAGTGTCTGTGAAATGGGTTGAGAACCCACAGCTGCCCACCGCGCACGCCCCGGGCCGCCCCTTTTTGCAGGGGGGCTTAGTGGTGTGAATATAGGGTGGGGGGAGGGCCAGGCTCCTCTCCAGGCACAGGAGTTGGGGGGCTGGCTGCAGAGGCGGACGAGCAGGTGTGTGCGTTGCTCTCCCAGCTCCGCCCGGCCTGCTGGCTCAGCAGCTGCCTCCCCGCCGTGCACAGTGAAGGCACCTCGCAAGGCTTGACTCGCTCACCCGGTCACATGCCTGACAGCCAAGTGTGCCGCCTGGCTGCCTCTAAAGGACGTGTGTTGTCTGGGGGCCACACCTGGTGGTGCTCAGGGACTCCGCCCAGGCACGGTGCTCCGGCGTGCTACTGGCGGTGCTCAGGGCTCCCTGTGGTGCTGGGGGTCCCAGCTCCCCGCACGAGCAGAGCCTGTGCTCAGCCCGTTGAACCCAGACCCGAGAACTTGAGGGCCTGACTTCAGAGTGAGGCCCGGACATGGCTGCTCCTTCTTCCTCCTGGCACTCGATGCCCCTAGCCCCTTGCGGGCTTATGCCAGGCAGACGTGCTGAAAGCCCCCTCCCTCAGCAGACTGACCGGAGCCCTCTCTGAGCACCTCAGAGAGCAGAGCCTGTCTGCCCTGTGCCTGCCACGGGCTTCCCCTCTAGTGCTCCCTCCTCCAGGAAGCCACCCCTGCACTCTGCTGTCTTGGCTCACTTGGTACACCCCGGAGCACTTGCTGACCAGGGAGGTCCGAGGTTCTGGCCAAAGGAGAAGTCCTTGGACTTTGCGTGCGGCAGACCTGGGTTCGATCCCTGGCATCCCATATGGTCCCCCAGCACTGCCAGGAGTGATCCCTGAGCACAGAGCCAGGAGTAAGCCCTGAGCAAGCAACATGGAAACAGGAGCCCAGCCCCCCAGTCCAGAGGGCCGAGGGAGCTTGTGTGAGGACCCCACTGTGTTGGCTGCTCCTGTGTCCATGTCTGCGGGTGGTCAGCCCCGAGGAGGGGAAGCTTCCCCCCAGAGTGTGCCCCTCCTTGGGGCACGCCTCCAGCCGTGCCCCCAGCCCCCTGGCTGTGTCCGTGCTCTGCCTTTCTCCAGATCCGGCTCTGGCACATGCTCACGGGCCTGACATCGGCCCCGTCTGGCTGTGGCGTATCTTGGTAGTGGTTTAGGCCCCTGCCACCCCGCTGGGTAGTGTTCTGTGATGTGACCCTCCTGCCCCGCACTTCTGAACCCGGGGCTCACCGTGGTGGGGGGGGTTCTGGAGGGCATCTGGGTGTGCCCAGCAGTGGGGTTCCCAGGCCGCAGGTGGCTGCAGACACTTGGCCCGAGCCAGCGTTTTTAGGTTTTTATGGACGATAGAGCTGCGAAGGGCCATCCTGAGGCCCGCAGCACCTCCAGGCCTCTGGCCTCCACTAGCCCAGGGAAGGAGTGTGACCTCGGGGTGGGTGTCCCCTCCGGCACCCCTCTGAGCCCCTTCTTCCCACAGCTCTCATGGTACCGAGTTGCAGGCCGGCCTTCTTGTGACACAGGGAAAGCAGCCCTTCTGAGAGGATGTCGACGATACAGGTACCTGGGGGCCAAGCAGAGGAGAAAAGGGGACCCCAGGGGAGCCACGCCCCACCCCAGGCCTGGCCGTCGGTGGAGCCCAGTTCTGGGCTGCACTGTTGATCCAGGCCCTCGAGAGGGGCTGTCTCCCCTGGGGGTGGGGGAGGACTGTGCCCAAGCTCCTGGACGCCTGTCAGTCAGGAAGCAGCGAGCATGAGGCGGGGGTGTGCGGGCAGCCGGCGAGGGCCCAGCCAGCGCCTCTTGCCTTCCCCGCAGGCCGCCTGGCCGTCCGGTACAGAGTGCATCGCCAAGTACAACTTCCATGGCACGGCCGAGCAGGACCTGCCCTTCTGCAAGGGGGACGTGCTCACTATTGTGGCCGTCACCAAGGTAACCAAGGGACCCCCCCCCCGTATCCTCCCACGACGAGGGCTCGCCCTGGGTGGTCCTGAGAACTGGTCCATACTGCCCTTTCCGCAGGACCCCAACTGGTACAAAGCCAAGAATAAGGTGGGACGTGAGGGCATCATCCCTGCCAACTACGTGCAGAAGCGGGAGGGCGTGAAGGCAGGCACCAAGCTCAGCCTCATGCCGTGAGTATCGGAGGGGGAGGCGGGGGGGGGCAGGGGCCGGGGGGTCTTGGGGGGTCAGTACTGGGGTCTCAGAAGCAGAGGGGCTGGGAGCATTGTAGCAGGGGGATGTGACCACTGAGTCGGTGTCCGAACCGGTGAAGCGAGCCCTTCGGCATGGAGGCCGGCAGGTCACGGGCCAACGCCGTCGGCCACCGTGACCCCCGGCCCCGTCGTCCCCAGCTGGTTCCATGGCAAGATCACGCGCGAGCAGGCGGAGCGGCTGCTGTGCCCGCCCGAGACGGGGCTGTTCCTGGTGCGGGAGAGCACCAACTACCCCGGCGACTACACGCTGTGCGTGAGCTGCGAGGGCAAGGTGGAGCATTACCGCATCATGTACCACGCCAACAAGCTGAGCATCGACGAGGAGGTGTACTTCGAGAACCTCATGCAGCTGGTCGAGGTGAGAGGGGGACGCACAGACACACAGACACACACACAGACAGACGCACGCACGCACACGCACCTCGCTGCAGGCTTGATCTCTGACCCGCGGGGGCCGCCCACAGAGGCTGCTGCCGGCCCATTTTATAGGCCAGGAAATGAAGGCACTGAGGCGGGACCGCCCGAGGCCCTCACGGCTATAAACCAGAGGAGCCGAGACCAGGCTCTTCTCTGCGCTCTCAGAATTCCCTTCCTTCGGCCCTGCGACCGACATGGCCGACGGGTGTCTGTTAGCATTTCCTCCCTCGTGAGCTGCCAGCTCGGGTCAGAGTCCCCACAGGCTCCTGCGGTGGCTGCTGGGTGTGCCCACAGGGCCCGGCCAGCCCTGCCCAGGCCGCACCTGGCCGCCTCCCAGGTACTCTCCCTCCCTCCCGTCTGTCTTGTCCCTGCTGGCCCAGCGTGGGCCTGGCCGTGGGGGTCCCGGGGTAGGAAGCTGGTGTCCGGACTGAGCTGGGGCTGGCCCTCTCTGCCCCGGATATTGGGGGCTCAGAGTGGTAACGGTAGCCTGGCATCTGTTCAGCACCTGCATACTGAGAGGGCACAGGGCCTGGGGCAGCTGTCAGTTGGGAGGCCCCCCCACCCCCACCCCCCCAGCTACTGCCCTGCCGGAAGTGGGGAGTCCTCCTCCCCCTCTTCCCCCGTGGGACCAGCCTCTGCTGCCCTCTCGTGGGCAGACACGGGCAGTGCATGTGCCCTGCTGGTGTGGCCCCGGGGATTGGCTCTGAGTGCCTGGCCCCCTCCCCAGCACTACACCTCAGACGCAGATGGACTCTGCACCCGCCTCATCAAGCCAAAGGTCATGGAGGGCACGGTGGCAGCCCAGGATGAGTTCTTCCGCAGTGAGTGCCACCCCCTCCCCCAGCTACCCACTTGCCTATCCCGCCTAGCTGGCACTACTGCCCCCACCCAAGGCTCCAAAGATCTGGGACCAGAGAGAGCGCAGGGGACAAGGCGCTTGCCTTGCATGTGTCCCCCCACCCCACCCCCGCTCTGCCCTGCGCTTCCCCGAGCAACGCCAGGAGTAGCCCTTGGGCACCCCGGGGTGTGGCCCCCTTCAAAACAGAAGCACCCGCAGGCGCTGGAGCTCCCAGGGGTCCTGACGCGCACCCAGCCCTCTCTGCTCTGGCCTCAGCCGGCCCCTGGCCCCCCTCCCTGCAGGTGGCTGGGCGCTGAACATGAAGGACCTGAAGCTGCTGCAGACCATTGGGAAGGGGGAGTTCGGAGGTGAGCGGGATGGGGTGCCCTGGGCAGGCCGGGGCTGGGGGCGGGGGGCGCACCAGGCAGCCACTCACCCTGTCCTCCCACCCCCAGACGTGATGCTGGGAGACCACCGGGGGAACAAGGTCGCCGTCAAGTGCATCAAGAATGATGCCACCGCCCAGGCTTTCCTGGCCGAAGCCTCAGTCATGACGTGAGCTGGAATGGGTGGTGGGGGGCCCCAGAGGAGGAGGAGGAGAGTGAAGGCTCTGCAGACCGTGACCCCAACCCCCTTGCTCCAGGCAACTCCGGCACAGCAACCTGGTGCAGCTCCTAGGCGTGATCGTGGAGGAGAAGAGCGGGCTCTACATCGTGACCGAGTACATGGCCAAGGTGTGCAGGCTCGCCAGCCCTCAGGGGCCCCATCCCCCCCTGCCCAGGGAGCCTCTGTTCCGGTTCTTCATCCTTCCCCTCTGGGACATGGGATCATAGACGCGGTCCTGTCCAAGGCTTGTGTGAATGCGGGGATCACACACGCACAGCGGTCAGCCCGTGAGCCCCAGGACTCACACAGGGCCGCAGCGATAGGACAGCGGGTAGGGTGCTCACCTTGCATGCGGCCGACCCAGGTTCAGTCCTTGGCACCCGATGCGGTCCCCTGAGCACCGCCAGGAGTGATTCCTAAGCACAGATGTGGCCCCGAGACACTACGGAAATGAGGTGTCCTCTCCTCACGCAGCCCTGAGTGGGCGGGGGGGTCCCCAGGCCGGAGACCAGGTCTGACCTGTGGGGCCGGGGGTGTGGGGTCTGTCTCTCCTGCCCAGGGGAGTCTGGTGGACTATCTGCGGTCTCGGGGACGGTCGGTGCTGGGCGGAGACTGTCTCCTCAAGTTCTCACTGTGAGTCGAAGGACGCTCCTGGAGCAGGGTGGGGGTGGGGGGCCACTCTCCCCCAGGGAGCCAGGTCTGAGGGCCCCGCTGGCCCGTGTACCCAGGGACGTGTGCGAGGCCATGGAGTACCTGGAGAGCAATAACTTCGTCCACCGGGACCTGGCGGCCCGCAATGTGCTGGTGTCCGAAGACAACGTGGCCAAGGTCAGCGACTTCGGCCTCACCAAGGAGGCTTCCAGCACCCAGGACACGGGCAAGCTGCCCGTCAAGTGGACAGCCCCAGAGGCCCTGCGAGAGAAGGTGGGTGTGGGCCCCCTCCCCGCCCGGGCGGCCAGGGGCCGGGCCTCAACCCCCAGACCCCGAGCCGACTTCTCCCATCCGCCCGGCAGAGATTCTCCACCAAGTCCGATGTGTGGAGTTTCGGGATCCTCCTCTGGGAAATTTACTCCTTCGGGCGAGTGCCTTATCCGAGAATTGTGAGTGCGGGGTGGGCGCACCCCGGGGGCGGGGGCGGGAGCTGGGCCGGGTCCGCGTGGGGCTGCCCCCGCCCGTGCCCGCTGACCATGCCCCCGCCCCCCGCAGCCCCTGAAGGACGTGGTCCCTCGGGTGGAGAAGGGCTACAAGATGGACGCCCCCGACGGCTGCGCGACCGCCGTCTACGAGGTCATGAAGAAGTGCTGGCACCTGGACCCCGCCGCCAGGCCGTCCTTCCTGCAGCTGCGCGAGCAGCTGCAGCACATCAAGACGCACGAGCTGCACCTGTGACGCGGCGGCGCCGTCCTGCAGCGGCCGGGCAGGGCCGGACCCCACGGACTGCAGAGTGGACCTGGTGCCCCACTCGCGGGGTCGGACCCGGACTGAGCCCGGCGGCCCCCTGGACCTCAGCCAGGCCCAGCTCCGCCCATGGACCTGCGGGGGGGTGGGGGGTTGAGGAGCCGGGGTGGGGGCTGCCCCTGGCCTCCCATCTCTCTCTCTCTCGCCTTCTTAGAATTTTGTCCTTTTCCCCTTTTTTGAGATTTCCCCCCCTCCCCAACCCCCCCGTGTGTTTATTTTTTATTATTTTTCAAGATAAGGAGAAAGAAAAAGTTCCCAGCTCATGGGGCATTTTACAAGAAGTACGAATCTTATTTTTCCCCGACCTGCCCGCCAGGCCCGGGGAGCCCCGTCCCGACCACCCCCCCACCCCCCACCCCCCGCGCTGCCCTTGTCCGTGTCCCGTCTCCCTGTCGCCTCGGTCGCCCCGTGTTTGCGCTTGACCGTGTTGCACTGTTTGCATGCGCCCGAGGCAGGCATCTGTCAGGGGCTTGGAGTCTGTGTGCTGCCCGCCCGCCCCGTCTCCCTGTGAGAAGGATCGTAATAAACCGCCCCCTGAGGACACCGCTGCCCGCCTGGCCTGCCTGCCCGGCCTGCCGTCTGTCCGCCCCTGTCTCTGTCCGCCGGGCTCTGCTTGCCCTTGTGACGGCGGGTGGGGAGCACGGCCGGGGCGAGGGGGGGCGGCGGGGGGAGGTGTGTGGCTGCCGCTTTGTGTCGGCTGCACGAGCGTGTCCTGTGTCTTTGGGGGCGTGGGGGAGCGCACCCCGGCCCACCCCTTGAGGCCCCTCCCATGGGGCCCAGCCGGCTCTGGCCATCCCAGCAGCAGCGTCTCTCTGACCCAGTGGTCAGGCTGTCGGCACCAAGAGGGTGGGGCCAAGGACAGGAATCGGAGTTGGGGCCCCCGCCGGGAGGGACCTGGGTCTGCTAGCCCCGGAGGGTGGCGGGAGGCCCATGCACCAGCCTCGGTCACTGCTCACGGTGTCCAGAGCTTAGCCGTCACCCCCAGGGGCTGAGGATTCAGTGAGGACCAGCCAGGGCTCCCCTCGGGCAGATTCCCCGGGACCCCGGGCGGAGGGGACGCTCCACTTTTCAGAGGCAAGCAGCTAGGGGTCCCTGACTGCCGGCCAGCAGGACTGGATCAGGGAGTCGTCTTGATTAGATTTGGGGTCCACGCCCAGCGAGTTATTTCTGCCTCTGAACTCAGGGGTCACTCCTGCCGGTGCTCCGGGAACCTTATGGAATGTGAGGGACAGAACCCGGGTCAGTCGTGTGCAAGGCAAGCACGCAGCCCATCCAGGGAGCCGACTGCAGTGTGCCGTGTGTCCCTGTGTCCCAGCCACCGCCTCCCCACCCTGCCCACACAGCAGCCTCCTGCCTCCCCCCAGTTCCTGCTCGGCGCACATCAAACTCCGCCCTCTGAAACCAGACCGTTGGTTCAACCACAAAGGATGGAATTTCTGGGAGTGTATCAGGTCTGGAGTTCCAACAGTGAGGCAAACCCCCTTGGCGCTCACGGTTGGGAAGACGGTTCTTACACACCGTGACAAACTTGGCAAATGCGAGGAAAGCACAGATCTGGGCTGTAGATCACGGACCACTTCCTGGAGGAGGCAACATATGCACTGAGTTTAGAAGGACGAGCAGGAGGGACAGGGATGGGGTAGGGTGTGGATATGGCTCTAGCATCTAAGAAGCGAGGCGGAGACTGGAGGGAGGTGCTAGAGACGCTGAAGACGGATGGAGAATGAGTCCGAGGCGAGGAGAGGGGACTCGGAGTAGGGGGGCTCGGGGGGCCACATGGGGTGCTGGGAACAAATCTGAGTCAGGTGCTCCTCCGCACCGTCTCCAGCCCTAAAGGCTAAATGTTTTAAGGGGGCGAAAGAGACAGTACAGGGGCATGGCGCTTGCCTTACACGCAGTCAACCCAGTAACACCACGCTCCCCTGAGCACCTCCAGGACTGGTTCCTGAGCACAGAGGCAGGGGCAGCCCCGGACACAACTAGGTGAGACCCACCTCCCTAAAAGAAGAAAGTGGGTTTGCCAGTAGTTCCTGGTCCATGGCAAACCAGAGATTGTGGGGGCGGGCCCCAGATGAAGAGGGCCCCCTAGAGAAGGGGATCCAGCACGGGAAGCCCACCAACTTGAGAAAGGCAGCCGGCATCCTAGGATCTGGGGAGCGGGAGGTACGGGGAGGGGCGGTGCGGTGGTGGCGCTCCAGCAGGAGGGAGAACCCCGGAAGGAGGGTGCCGGAGGATGCCGGAGGATTATCTGCTGACAGCCAGATCCCTGAGAAGGCAGAGGGGAGGGGCGGCTGGGGTCCAGAGCACAGGGGCGAGGCTCCCCGCTCCCTGCTCCTGAATGGGGGTGGGGACCACTGGAAACCAGCTCTCACGATCTGGTGCAGAAGCCACCAGGGTGCCCGTTGGCAGGGGGTCACAGCAGGCTCCCCGGGGCAACATGACAATGGGGACGGGTGAAGGGGCAGACCCTTTGCTCCTCCTGGTGGTGCACAGGCCCCCACGCCCCCATTGTCCTTCACCCTCTCACTCGATAGCGGTTTGGTCTTGGTTTCCCCATTTCCGCCATCCTTGCCTCCTGCTCCGTGCAGGCCACAGGCCCATCATGCTTAGACAAAAAAGGTTCTTACCCTCAAGTGCCCTCAGATGATGCGGAGCCCACCCAGGTCTCAGGTGGGTGCCCAAAGGCAGGAGCTCCCCTTACATGCATCACCATCCCCACCTGCCAGCCCAAAGCCAGTGAGACCGAGCAGGCGGTGGGCAGAGCAGCTCCTTGGACACTGGGGCGGGCAGGGAGCAAGGGCATCCCTGGCAAAGGGAAGACACCAGCTGACCAGAGGTGGGGGCGGGGGCCAGAGAGCCGCGGTAAGTCCCTTGCCCTGTGCGCAGATGATCTAGGTTTGACCCCCAGCACTGCCAGGAGTGCTGTCCTAAGCACAGCTAGGTGTGGTCCCCAAACCAAAACAAGACCCCAGCGGAGACAGATTGGAATGGGGAGGCGGGGGGGAGGGGGCGGTGGCAGAGTTAAGCCCAGCAGGAGCTGTTGCTGGGCGCTGTGGAGAGGAAGACGGGCCGGGCCGCTTGGCTGAGCTGTTATCTCACAGAATGCTCCAACAGTGCTCGGAGAGAGAAAGACACATCGTCCCTAGGTCACAGACGGCAAGACGGAGGCTACAGAGAGCCGTGAGAATCGGGGAAACTAGGAGAGTGACTTGTCGCTGAGAGGAGAGAAGGCAAAGGGGAGAGTCTGGGGACTGGGGCTGGAGAGCGTCAGTTGTAGAACTGATGCAGGGGCCGCCCTGAGCCCCGGAAGAGAGAGGCTGAAGGTCTGAAAAGAGCTGGCTCTGGGTGTGTGTTCGGTTCCCCAAGCAGAGTTAGACCCTTCATTCAAGCCTGCGGGCTGGGGAGAGGCTGCTGAGGTGGAACTCAGGGGCCAGGGGCCCAGCAGGGCCCAGCAGGGCAAGCACAGGCCTGAGCCCTGAGAGGGAGGGAAGGAGGTCAGCTGAGGCCCTGGGAGGCAGAGGTCAAGGACCCGCCTCCCAGCCCAGATGGGAGGAGCAAGCAGCCCCGGGGGCCAGGGCTGAAGGGCAGTAGCACTGAAGGTCACGGAGAGCACGCTGGGAAGTGTCCACTGGAGGGCAGAGGTCACTGTGGAGCCTTCCTGGGACAGCAGGGCAGGAGCTGGAAGGATGGAGGGGGTGGGGGGCACTCACCTTCCCACAGTGAGCAGGAGGTGGCTGCCGGATTAGCCTTAAGAAAGGAAGTTACTTGGTTTTTTATTTGGCACATCCTAAAAGTTTCCGTTTATGGCCTTGATGTCAATTAACTTGTAGAGCTGCAGTAACTTAATCCGGCTGGAAATTTACACAGGACAGTGAAGGAGCCAGAGAGATTATACAGGGGTAAGGCAGTTGCCTGGCATGTGGTGGTCCCAGGTTCAGTTCCTGGTACCCCACATGGCCGCTCAAGCACCTGGGCACCACTGGGTGTGGCCCCGAAACAAAGAAAAAATCCCCCAATCACTTGCCTTTCTTCCCAGTTGGTTAGTAAATATTAGACTGCAAGGCCCACAAGATCCACCCATCACTGATTTGTTCAGGTTTTTTTTCTTTCTAATGGCTGTGTGTGCGGGGGAGCATACCATCTGTGCTTAGAGCTTACTCCTGGCTCTGCGCTCAGGGAGCACTCCTGATGGGGCTTGGGGTGCCACGGATCGAACCCATGTCAGTCATATGCAAGGCAAGTGCCTACCTGCTGAACCGTTGCTCCAGCCTCCTGTTCTGTCTCTTAGAAGAGTGATGCAGGGAGGAAGCCAGGCTGCTTGGAGGCAGGAGTGTTTGAGACTTGGAGAGCAAAGCACTTCCTGGGTGTGGGGGGTGGGGGGGACGGGGACAGAGCAGGCTGCGGGGTGCAGGAAGTAAACAGGATGCTAAGTCTTGTCTGGAGGGGGCGGATCATCAGGGTCTGTCCTGGGATCCCTGAGCCCCCACAGCCGCTGCTGTAGGTGGAAGGATGGGACAGGGAGCAGGCTGCGCTCAGATTCAGAATCTGCAGTGCGCGCACACACACACACATGCACACACACATGCACACACACACACGTGGAGGTGAGGGCCAGGGTAAGGCAGAACAGGATGTGTGTGCTGGGCAGGGAGGGAGAGGACAGTGCCCAGAGCCAGCTCCTGGCTGCTCCCCAGCTCCTCCCCACCCTCCACCCACAGCCCCTCCCAGGCCATACTGCTCCCGAGCCGCCTGGGACCCAACACCAGATCCCTTCACCATGCCGCTGGCTATGGGGGCCCCCAGCCCTTTGCTCGGGCTTCTCCTCCTCCTGCTCCTGATGCCTCACAGCCCTGAGGGGGGCCGGCCTCCGCATCGAAGATTTGAGTACAAGTTCAGCTTCAAAGGTCCCCAGCTGGCGTCGCCGGGCGCTGGGATACCCTTTTGGAGTCATCATGGAGGTGAGAGGACATCTCAGAGGGTCAGGGGGTTCGGGGTGCTGGGACTGGGAGAATGGACCTGCCAGCACCAGCCCGTGCCCAGGAAGGGACCAGGCCTGGGGCCAGCAGGAGCCTGGGCAGCTTATGTGAGTTTTACCCCCAGTTACCAGCCTTGCCGCCAGTCTAGCTCTTTTTTTTTTCTCTCCTTTCTTCTTTTTTAAAATTAATTTTTTTAAATCATTTTTTGGGGGTTTCTCAGGAGTGATTCCTGGCTCTGTCTGCGTTCAGGAATAACTCCTGGTGGTGCTCAGGGGACCATATGGGATCCCGGGGATCAAACCTGGGTTGGCCGCGTGCAAGGCAGACACCCTGCCTGCTGTACTGTGGCTCCAGCCCCTCATTCCTTTCTGCCTGAGAGTCCTTCCCCTGCTTTCTCTGCCTGTGAAGACTCACACACACAGAGAATCAAGGCACTTGTTACGAGCACAAACGTCCACTCTTCTGATTCCAAGCTGGTGGACTTGGAAGCATCCATGAGAAGCAGCGGGGTTGCCTGGAGCAAGGTGTCCTCACAAGCAGCTGTCTGGGAGGAGAGGGCCCTGCCTTCTCAGTGCAAAGCAGGAAGGAGCACATCTTAGTGAGTGAAGACCTCATCCAGACCGGCCATCTGCTATGGGTCCTTGTTCCAAAATGAATTTTTATTTATTTATTTATTTATTTATTTATTTTGCTTTTTGGGTCACACCCGGAGATGCTCAGGGGTTGCTCCTGGCTCATGCCCTCAGGAATTACTCCTGGTGGTTCTCGGGGGACCCCATGGGATGCTGGGAATCGAACTTAGGTAAGCCGCGTGCAAGACAAACACACTATCTGCTGTGCTATCGCTCCAGCCCCCCAAAATGATTTTTAAATGTGTTTCTATTGTATCATTGGTTTGTTTTTGCTTGCTTGTATTTTGGGGGGGCCACAATCAGCTGTGCTTAGGGCTTAGTCAGTGGCTCTGCACTCAGGGATCTCTCATAGCAGTGATGCTGTCTTGTTTTTGTTTTTGTCTTTTGTTCTTGTTTTGGGTCACCCCAAGCTATGCTCCTGGCTCTACCCTCAGGAATTACTCCTGGCAGTGCACAGGAGACTATATGGGGATCAAGTTCTGGTCGGCTGCATGCAAGGCAAACGCCCTCCCTGCTGTACTATTGCTTCGGCCCCAACCCTGGCAGTGCTTGAGAAACCTTATAAGTTGCTGGGGATCAAACTGGTATCAGCTGCATACAAAGCAAGCACCCTTCGCCCCTACTTTATTTTGAGAGTATGGTTGTGCTCAGTGTCCACAAGTGCCACTCCTGCAGGATGGGCTGGGTTGGGGGTGGGGGGAGTGGCCGTTGGGAATGGAACCCAGCGTTTGAACATGGCTTAGGATCAGGTCAGGACATGGAATGAGTCCAGGAATATGCTCTGTGTGGGGAAGGGCATATCCTATGCTGCATGGAGATTAGTCCCCAAAGACTCTCGGGTGCCCTGCAGCACGTTGTCTGCCTGGCATATGCTCCAGTCTCCAGGCCAGATCCAGGGACACACATGGTGGGAGGAACTGGGCCAGGGCCTGGGTCCCAGCCTCCCAGCCAGCCAAGCTGAAAGAAGAAAGCATAGGACCAGACACGTCAGGGCAGATGAGAGGGAAGTGCTCAGAGGGCATCACGTGTAACTGAAGCCAGAACCAGGACTCTTTGAGATGAGGCTCTGGAGGCTGGCTCTGTGAAGACAGAGGGGACACAAGGGCTGTTCCTTGTTGCCACATGCCCTCCTTTCTCCAGAACCACCCAGGGATCTGGGTGCTGTCTCCGTCCACTATCCATCCACTCATTCATTCATCTTTCATTGTTAATGTCTTTGTTTTGTTTCGTTTGGGGGCCACACCTGGAGAAGGAGATTCTCAGGAATTACTCCTGGCTCTGCACTCAGGAATTGCTCCTGGCAGTGCACAGGGGACCACGTGGGATGCTGGGGATTGGACTCAGGTCGGTGGGTACACAAGGGTCCTGTGTACAAGGCAAGCAACATCCCTGTTGTACTATCGCTCTGCTCTTCACCGGTCCTTTCATCAGGTCCCACCCAGACCCAGACCCTCTGTGTCCAGCCCAGACACAGGGCTGAGTCCATTCAAAGAGCCCCTAGACCGCAGTGAGGTTCTCCCTGAACTAGTCAGGGGTCACTTCCTGCTGCCATTAAGTCACTTCAGTGTAATGTGGCTGGGGGCCAGAGCAATAGTAAAGCTAGGAGGGCACTTGCCTTGCAAGAAACCAACCTGGCTTCGATCCTCGGCACCTCATATGGATCCCTGAATCCCGCCAGAAGTGATTCCTGAGTGCAAAGCCCTGAGCATCGCCGGATGTGGCTCACCCCGAAGAAAGAAAGAAAACAGATGCACAGTGACTGGGACCCCTGCCTCAGGCTCAGCCTTGCCGAGCAAACAAGGCGGGATTAGCTGTCACCGGGAAGTCCTGGCAGGGACTGGGCTCTGGACCAAGTGCCAGGCTGGCAGGCTGGAGGGCTGCGGAGTCCCTGGGCTAGGGCTCCCTCCCCTTGGTTCCTGCCAAGCCTGCCTCAGTTTCTCTTCCCTTCCTTCCTTCCTTTCTGTTCCCCAACCAGTGATGTTCCTTGCTCTGCTCCCAGCCTGCACCCCCCCCCCACCCATCTCTCCTTTCCTCACCCCAGAACACTGTTGGTCACTCCAGCAGGAAGCCTCAGCCCCACAGAACCCCACTGAGTGTCACTCCACATTTCCACTGTCCTGAGCTTTCACCTTCACCAGAGACACACAAACATCTGCCTTGGTAGAAGAGTTGGTATTTTGGGATCAGATGGAGGCGCTGAGCTCCAGTCCACCCGGCTCCTTCACCTTCCTACATGTCAGTGTACCCATCTGTGCATCTCAGAGACTATTATGAGGCTCAGGGCAGAGACCCCAGAGGATTGGGTTTCAACTCCCATTCTTTTTCCTTCCTCATTTTTGTTTATTTGTTGTTTTCGGGCCACACCCCATGGTGCTCAGGGGCTATTCCTGGCTCTGTGCTCAGGAGTGACCCCTGGTGGTGCTCAGATGACCACATGTGGTGGCAGGGATTCAAACCAGGGTTGGC